CACGTACCAGATAGCAATTTCCCGGAACATTTTTTCCCGTGTTGCGCCGACACCAACGGGTCTTAGGTAATTTTAGTGAAACTTAACGTCTTACCGTCCACTGTAGGTTCATGTCCACAGGAGGTGGTATCGTTGGAGGCATTGCGTTCGTGGTTGTGCTCGAGTATTTTCTAGAATTTCAACCGTCATTATATTTTGAGTAACTTACCGATGGTGATAAGCCTTGACCGAAGAATGGGAGTTCGTAGATGGCTGTATCAATAGCCGATGTGCATCGGCATTGTGAGTGTCTGCTAGGCTGAGAGTTAGCCATAGTGCTATCTAGAAACGCATATGCATCTGTTGACTGCAGTAACTTCCAAGAGAATACTACGTAATATTACGCACTGGTGTTGTCTAAAACATTCGCAACCATGAGGCACTGGGTCGGCTTTATGTTCATGGAGTAACTTATGTGACGGAAACCTTGAATGGTCTTATGTAGCCACCTCGGCCTCACTCAGACGCCTAACTATCTACTTCGGAGGTCGCGAATGACTTAATAATTTATTCGGTCTATAAACAGTTTAAGCTACTGCTTAAAATAACCACCATGTACTTTGCATGCAACCTTAGTGACTAACAACCTCCGAGCTGTAAATAAGAGTCCAGCTTCTAATAATTGCTGTGCAGGATTCCAGACAGAACGATAACGCCTACGTACATTAAAACTGTTTTAACTCAGCAAATGTCTACGACTCCATCTCCAGTAATCGCCTTCTTCGCTGGGAAAATTCAGCTTCTTAGCTAGCAAGCATCACATTTAAATAATCCTTATAAGAAGTCTTATTTGACGTAGATCTTCAGGTGTTGCAATGTTGCGTAATGGTCGATTATCAGAGGAAACCATAAATAAAATTATTTCCTGAAGTCTGCGATTCTTCGCGCTTTCTACCACCTGTTTTTGTGGATTCATTGTTTCCATATTCTCTAGTTTGCAAACAATATCTACTATGTATCTGGTAGATCTTTATTGCCAATAGAAGTGAATATGCGACTTCCAGGAAGCAGTTCAGAAGAAGATGCGACCACTGGAACAACAGTTTTTTTCCTGAGGCTTCGGATTCCGTCGGGAATCCTTAATCATGGATAATGGTTACCG